TTTTTTTTTCTCAGTGGAACAACCAGAAATTTTTACCCAGCGAACGCAGCGCAGAGCTGGGGCGAGATTTGTCCAGAGGTGACGCGCCGGGGCGGGAAGTGAGCAACGCATCCACGTCCAACACATCCCTGCCGAGCACGGGATCGGAGGGGGGAGGCCGGGAAGGTGGGGGAAAAGGAGGGACGAGGGGGGGCCACTTACATGGTAATGTTTCTGCACGGTTCTTTTGGATCATTATGCAGAGCTGTAGCACCAGTTGAGGGGCGCTCTCGAGGAACGTTTCCAGGAGGCGCAGCATGTTTACGTCTGCATATTCGTACATCATAGCCCAGTAGAAACGCCGCTGGTGTTCCTTCCGCCTCTGGCTCTGGATCCCCAGGTACATAGTTCGGATATACCTGCAGCAAACACAGGAGGGAAAGCTGAGTGCGAGGCTTTGGCGTGTGGCAAAACCCGAGGAGGGCTGGGCCAGCTGTTTTGGGGACAGGGAATCTGGGGAAGGCATAAGGCTTTTTTCTCCTGCAAGATCTGAGAAGTACTTTCAGAATCCAACCAATCATTAATGCTGGAAAAGACCTCCAAGGTCACCAAGTCCAGCCTTTGACTGAATGCCACCATGCCCGCTAAAACATATCACAAAATGTACTTCATCTTGCACAGGTGGAAAATCTTTACCTTGCACCTCCCAGACGTGAAGCCTGGGGGTAGGAAATGCTTGTGAAGCACAAGAAAGCAACTCTTTCACTTTGTTTTCGTCATAAGAAGAGAAGCTACTTGAAAAATACTGGTCATAACGCTTGGTGGTGGATTGACAGACCATCTAAGTCCCTTCAGCACTCTGATAAGGAGGTTTTGTCCCCAACCCCAGAGTTCAAGGAGCATTTGGACAATGGTCTCAGGCACAGGGTGGGATTCTTGGGGCTGTGCTGTGCAGGGCTGGGAGCTGGACTTTGATGATCTTTGTGGGTCTCTTCCAGTCAGGATATTCCACGACTGTGTGACCTGGCCCTACTTCATCACAGCTGGAGACAGGAGACACCACCCTCACCTTCAGCACACGTGTGACCCACAGATGCAAAAGGCCACAGCTTGCCACTGGTCAGCTATGGAGACTTTGGGCAATGCTGGACCAGAAGGAGGTGCCTTGTGCATGGGCACTGCTCTACCCTTGCTTCTGTTTCCACAGACCTGCAAACCTCACTCTGGGGGGACACAACTTCCCCTCAGGGGACATTTGGGCAATCTTTGTGAATGGAGCTGACCAAGGCAGGGTAGCACAATGTGCCCAGGTGCCACAGCACTCATGGCACCCTCTCCTAAAATGGGGTGCTTTCTAACGCTCACAGGTATCACAGAATCCTGGAATGGCTGGGGCTGGAAGGGACTTTAAAGATCATCTTGTTCCATCCCCCTGCTGTTGGCAGGGACACCTGTCACCTGTCACAGGTTGCTCAGAGCTCCATCCAGCCTGGCCCTGGAACACTTCCAGGGACTGATGATCTAATACTGGGTCTTCTTCCTTCTCACCCTGAGTGATGGCTGTAGCCTTTTTTGGGATGGGAATCATTTCCCCTAATGCCAGCCCTAAAGTTGGTCATCTGAGCCAGTCAGTCGATGGAAATGTCCCCTCCCGGGACTGTTCATCTGTCCCAGCTCCAATGCCAGCACGGCAGTGGGATGAAGTGCCTTCTGGAGGCTCTGGGAGGGCCTCACAGCACTAACTGGGGTTTCGCCAGAACGATTAGATCATTCCTTGCCGCTCGGGCGAGACTGAACAGCAAGGAAGAGCAGGAGGCACGGACGGGAGCCTCGACAGCGCCTGTGTCTCCAAATTACACCCGGGAACAGGGAGCCGGGAGGGAAGCAGAGGCAGCTCTGCAAGCCCTGCCTTTTCTCCAGCACCTTGTCCTTCCTTCCCGTTCGCACTTCACACGCACAGAAGACGAAAAATCCCGAAAGAAGTCCGCAAGGACACGAAAAATGACGCAGGGAAGCCACCAGATGGGGCTCGAAACTCGAGAAAAATGCTACGCCATGCACACGCGACACTGGTGACACTGGTGTGACATCCTCAGCAGACCCCGAGTGGGGTGGGAATGGCTGTGGACCACCTGCTCTCCCAGTCCCCAGCATGCCAAAACCAACACGAGTGCTTGGCGCTTCCCTGGAAGATCCCAGCCCCAGAAGCTGCAGCACAACGGAGGGATCCTGCCTTCCCTTCATCCATGCAAGGAATTAAATAAATGCAGTTCAGCTGGAAAGGCAAAGTCAGAGAGGGTGTAATGGTTCAAGGAGAAAGCAGAAGCAGCAGACCATGCAACGGGTTTTTATAATATCAGCGACACAGGGCCACCAAAACCCAAGGTGATGGTGCCCATAAGGTGCTGCCCACGGGCAAAGACACCATCATCCCTGCCAAGCTCTTACCACCAAATCTGTCCTGTAGTCCTGGATGGCCTCCCCTCCCCAGAAGCTCTTATTGCTGTGTATAATGAGACTTAAACTCCTCTTCTGAAGCTTAAGCCACTCATTCCTCAACTCCTCAGCCATGGACAAGGAGAAGAATTTATTCATTTTCACCCTGCAGCCAGTCATTTGCCTGTTTGCACATAGTTACCACATAAACCCTTCTCTCCAGACTGAAAAATCCCATAGAATCACAGAACCATTAAGGCTGGAAGAGAGCTCTAAGATCATTGAGTCCAGCTGTTCCCCCAGCACTGCCAAGGCCACCACTAACCCCTGTCCCCAAGTGCCTCATCCCCATGGCTTTTAAATCCCTCCAGGGATGGGGACTCCACCACTGCCCTGGGCAGCTGTGCCAGGGCTGGGCAACCCTGGAAGGAAGAAATTGTTTCCAATATCCAACCTGAACCTCCTCTGGCACAGCTTGAAGCCATTTCCTCTCGTCCTATCCTGTGTTTCCTGGGAGCAGATCCCACCCCCCACCTGGCTCCCCCTCCTGTCAGGGAGTTGGAGAGAAAAAGAAGGTCCCCCCTGAGCCTCCTTTTCTCCAGAAAAAAATTCTTTCAGTCCCCTCTCACAGGTGACCATCTCCTACACCTCTTATCTTCTACGTTGCTGTTCCCATCACCTGTCTCCAGTTTTGGGTTATTTTTAAGGCCAAAAAATACTTTTCCCAGCACTCCAGGCTGGCTGAACCGAACCACAACAGTGACATTGAGTCACTCAGAAAGATTAGGAAGAAACTGAAGATGGGACACCAAATCCTGCAACGATTCCTCCTTGATCTCCAGGGATTCACCACCATCCACACAATTTAAGCCTGAATGTTTCTCACTGGCCACGGTGAGAGGACATGACAACGACTGGTTGAGACAGCATGAAAGGACATGATAATACATTGGATTAACATAATTTCCTGATCCTGTCTCTGTCAATGGCCAGAACAGAGGCAAGGACAGAAACACCAAACTGTCCTGGTTGTTGAACCCACAGCCTTTGGCAAAGGTCAGCTGTGTTCTATGGTTCCACAGAGGAGGAAACTGAGTCATACAGCACCAAATAGGTGCCCTCAAAGTTTTTTTGGCATTTAAACCCAGATCTTTTGGTGCCTCAGGAATCCCTTGGCCACCAAATGGTCCCGGCACGAGAACAAAGCAGTTCCAAGGACCGTTTGGGGCTGAAGGGAAATGAAATTCCCTGTGTACTCTTCTTGGTCCATGACAAAATACGGTGCTCTCTCTTCAGTTTCCTTCAAACCCAAATCTGGCAAAGAGAGGAAAAGGAGCACTAAAACCCCATTCCCCCTTGGTGCCAGTCAGTTGTGAGCTTAACTGCGAAATATTCTGAGAATAACTGGGAAAGGCAGTATTTCTACCTGGAAGAAATACTTTCAACAGAAGGCTTCCAACAATTCCTAAATACCTACTTAATTAATCAACAAAAAACTTCACCCAGCTCTAGGGTTAATAATTCTTAACCCTATTTCCAAACACAAATGTCCAACACTGGTGTAAGCAGTTTTATTCCAGTTTATCTGTTTCCTTGTGGTATTATATTTACTCATTTGAGGGTTTTTCCTACTTTCACTAACACTGCTTAAGTGTAGACAAACTCTGAAGAAAGAAGAAAAAAAAAATCAATGTCATTTCACCTGAAATTTGTTGTTCTCGGTCAAGCTGGTACCAAACAGGCTTCTATAATTAGACTTTCAAATCCATATTCGGGCCTGATCTTCAATCTTTAGCAACTCGATGCTTCCTCTTATGTCAGAGAAAACCATTCACTGCTCTGTGTTTTTGAAAATCAGGCTAATTTATTTATTTAAGAGCTTAATTTTGGATACAGGAGCCTAACTTTGGACTTTTTTTTTTTTTTTTTTTGAATACTGGCTATTTTTATATACGAGTGTGTGTATATTTGTGCATATTTTTAGTTCCAAGTCTCATCACGGCTTCAAGAGATAGAACTAATTCGGGGCTGGGAGGAGGGATTGGGGAGATTCTTTTTTTTAATTTTTTTTTTTTACTTTTTTTTTTTTTAATGCACAAAGGGTTGGCTGTCCCCTCCCTCCTGGCAGGATTCCCAGAATTCCTGTTGGTGTAATTACCCTCATGCTTATTTACTACGGATGCTGCAGCAGCACATGAACTGCACGGGGCAAAGTCACTGCTGTCCCTGCGCCAATGGAGCCAAAGCCATTGGATCCACAAATGTGGCCAAATAACCTCTGGAGAGAACCACAGGAGGCAGGAGATGCTCTTGCTGTAAAAAAAACCCACCCCTCCCCCCCAGTGATGCAGAAAAAGATGCTCCACGTGGATGGCAGAGGACGGATTTTGGAGGCAGAGGCTCTGTCTGTGTTGTTAAACAAAGAGGACCAAAAACCAGCCTTTGTCCTTGGCCAGCTGGCATGACTCCACTCCGTGTGGCTACAGCCATGTTAGTTGGACTTGGCCATGATTTCCAGAGACTGTTGACAGCAGAACAGGGTGGAGTATTGTAGGATGGTGCCTGAGCCTTGGCACAGTTTGATTTTCAGAGGTGGCTCTGGGTATCACCACCAGGAGGATGCCTCAGGCAATGGGCTGGCATGAGATGAAGAGGATGTGGATGGGTGAGAGGGTCACATCAGCACAGGCCTTGGGCTGTGCTTTGAGGAAAAAAGAGCCCTCATGGCCTGGCCCACACAACCACAAGCTGACCAAGGTCAGGAATCTCAGACTCTAATAGGCAGCAAAGGACTGATCACTTTTCCTGAGGACAGGGGGCCGAGACTGATGACAGAAATCAACTCTCCCATCCTCCAAAACGAGGCAGCTGCCATCATATTCATTACTGAGAATGATCCCTAGTGCCTAGAGAGTCCTGCACCCTGTGCAGGTTATGGTGACTTGAAAAGTCCCAGTAAGCCTGGATAAATCCAGTGATTATGCTCAGAATTGAGTGTAGAATTGTAGAATCACAGAGCACCCTGAGTTGGAAAGGACCCCAAAGGATCATTAAGGCCAACTCCTGGCCCTGAGCAGGGCATGATGAAGCTACAAGTGCCCTCAAGCAGGCCTTGAAATTGCCTAATTTACTAGTACAGGTATAAAGACAGAGGTAAAGAAGTAGTATTTGATGTACTCACTCCACTCCCAACAACTCCAGGTTGGGAAACTCTTCTTGACTGAGCACAACCAATTCCTCCTTTCAGAGAAGCAAACCTTGGCTTGAAAATGGGAGAACATGCTGGAGAAGCCAGAAAGGGGCGTCTGGGGAAAGGAGCTCAGAAAATTAACTCTTTCTAGCCCCAAATACAAAGCACTGCATAGTGAGGGCTGCTGTGGGAAAAACTGGCTCCGTCAGAGCCAGACTCAGTCAAAGAATCACACTGAAGATCATAAGTCCAACCATCAACACAAGACCACCGTTTTCACCACCAAACCATGTCCACAACTGCCATATCCATGCTTTTTGAACACCTCCAGGGATGGTGATTCCACCACTGCCCTGGGCAGCCTGTACCAGGGCTGGACAAGCTTTTCAGTGAAGAAATTTTCCCTAATATCCATTTTAAACCTCTCCTGGCACAGCTTGAGGCCATTTCCTCTCCTCCTGTCCCTTGTTCCCTGGGAGCAGAGCTTGACCCCCATCTGGCTCCTCCCTCCTGTCAGGGAGTTGCAGAGCCAGAAGGTCCCCCCTGAGCCTCCTTTTCTCCAGGCTGAGCCCCCCCAGCTCTCTCAGCTGCTCCTGCTGCTCCAGCTCCTTCCCCAGCTCTGTTCCCTTCCCTGGACATGCTCCAGCCCCTCAGTGTCTTGTTATGAGAGGCCCAGAATTGACCCCACGATTCATGGTGTGGCCTCACCAGGGTGTCCACACAGGGGGACGGTCACTCCCTTGATCACACCAGTGCTGGTACAAGCCAGGTGACCTTGGTCTGCTTGACCAGCTGGGCACACTTGGGTTCATGTTCAGAATTTCACCATGGCACTACAGGAGCATGTTGTGACCTCGGTGTCATGGTATCAACTGTATGGATGGACACCACCTCCCTCATCATCCCGTGGCACCAACCTTCTCCCTGGTGCTCCCTCCTGGAAGGAGAGGGGTGGGATGGAGCACATTATCCCCCTGACAGCTCACCCTCCTGCCACCTCCTCCACAGGCTCACTGTTGCAAGGGGCCATTAGCCTTGAGGACTGGAGGGTGTTCACGGATTAAAAGCCCCCTCCTCGGAAGGGAGGAAACGAGGACGTGGAACTGCTCGGCTGGAAGGCTGGGAGCGGAGGCTGCCTGAACATCCCCTTAAAATGAGGTTATGTGAGGCCAGATCTCAGCTGGAGTGAGCTGGCATCCACAGGGCTCCAGCAATTTACACCAGCTGCGGCTTTGGCCCGCTTTTTTAATTTTAATGAATTATTTTCCTTCTGAAAGATCTAAAAGGAATATAAGATGCGGCGCTCAGGCGGTGGGGGAGCGTGGAAGTAAAACGCTGTCTATTAAAAAAAAAAAAAATCAAACCCAAACTTGCAGTTCCCATCACCACCAACGTGCTCAGGATCAACATTTGTTAGTGTTTGTTTGCTTGGTTATAATGTCACAAGTTTTAGTGACTAGGATTCACAGATGGATTATTGCTGTCACAAGTTTTGAGTATCAAAGTAATAACTACAGGGTCCCATCCGGGTTCTGATACATCTCAGCTTCATCTGGCTGCTTCCATGGCATCAAACTCCTCCAGAACAAGGAGCTGCATCCAAACTGTCTCTAGGGGATGGTTCAGGGCCTGAACTAATCCTCAAAGGATGCAGGATTTATTTACACCACTGATGGTTTTGTTGGGCCAAAACCAGGCAGGGGGCTATTGCTGAACTGGAAAGGTCACTTTCCCTCTCAAAAGCAGGAAAGGAATCCTTATTTCTACACAAAACCTTCCTCTAACCCAGCCTCTTCACGGGTCATGCCAAGCACATACAACTACAATCTCTCAGCATTTTGATGATCTTCATCCTGATTTTCAGAACCAAGGTTCTCAGAGCTTTCTGACAGTGGAAGTTGCCACTTTTTGGGATTTCGTCATGTGGTTTATACCTAAAAGTGAACAAAATGCAACAGAAAGTGTATTCATCAAGTTCCAGTCTTCCTGCCTTGCCCTTTCTGCTCTCTCTTGCCCAGTAAACATCCTTCAGTGTACAGCTACCCCTTATCTACTTAATTGTTTCTACCAGCTCCTATTAAGCTGTTAATAATCTCCATTCTGTGCCTTGTCGTACTTATTGGAGGAGAATGTTTGCTGAACACAAAATAAGCTTGGTCCATGCCTGCAAGGCACTTAAACGCATGGCATGACATCATCCATGAGTTGTGTAGACCAGTAGGTCATGAAGGACTCTATCTTTGAACACAGGATCATAGAATAGAATCACAGAATAGGAAAAGGCCTCCAAGACTGAGTCCAACCTGTGACCGGTCACCACCTTGTCAATCAGCCCAGACCACCAAGTGCCACATCCAGTTGTTCCTTGGACACCTCCAGGGATGGGGACTCCAATGCCTGACCACCCTTTCAGTGGTGAAAGAGTTTCAGTGAAGAAACTCTTTCTGACAGGGCGTTTATCATCATCCTGGTGTCAAACCTGGAACTCCAATGTGAGACTTGATCCACCTCCTCACAACTTCACCGTGATCCAGCATCAGGCTTTGTTTGGAGTCACTCACGACAAGATCACACAACAGCCATTTCATCAAGGTGACAACATTGCATTACTTGCCTATATTAATATCTTTTAATTAGACTGTACTCCAGTTTACTGCATCAGTCTCTTCTCATGTTTTCTAGCACCCAGACATTCCTCTTGGCTCCTTATTTCCTTATCCCTGCTTGAAAACTTCCCTGAGTGAGTGAGAATCTTGAAAGCCTTGGCCAAAATTTTAATGGATTAAATTTTGGTTTTAAAGCCAAAGGGTTGTGCCAAGGCAGACTTTTGGAATACCCCTATTTCAAAGGTGCAATAAGCAGCAAGTTAAAAAATTCTGGTCTTCATGTGAATTAAAAGCCCCATTCTCCAAATGCCTGTATTTGAGAGGGAGAGATACTTGAATGTCCATTTATATCAGAAACACTTGCTTTTTGCAAAATACTATCTGCAACTGAAATATCTGCTTGAAAGGATGAAAGTCCCAGTCTTCTGCTGCACGGGAGAAACTGTTGTAATTTCATATTCTAAGCCAATTTAAAGCTGTTTTAAAGCACAGATGGCTTTACTAGACACCAACTGCAAAAGAGGCAGCTGATTTATAAAACTTATGCTGGGAAGGATCATATCATGGAATAATTTAGATTGAAAAGGGGTTTTAGAGGTGTCTGGATCAAGGCTCGGGGTCTTGTGCAGCTGAGTTTTGAAAATCTCAAAGGATGGAGACTCCACAGGCCCTCTGGGCAACCTGTGCCAGCACTTAAGCACTGTCACTGCAGACTCAGGGAATCCTTCAGGCTGGAAAAGACCTCAAGACATTGAGTTCAACCATCAATCCAGCAGCACTGCCATGTGTACCACTAAACCATGTCCTCAAGTGCCACATCCACCGTTTTTTGAACACTTCCAGGGACAGTGAAATGATTTTCAGCGCAAGATCACTTTCAGTATTTGAAGAAAGTCTACAAATCAGCCCCTCCTTGGAAAGAGTCAATTCCGTCAAATGGTTGAGGGAGATAATTCAATCACAGTGCTGTGGGATTTTTAGGATCTGTATCCCACAGCTTTGGTATTTGCTGATTTAACTCATAGCTGATAATCTGGGGGCTCTGATGCACAAAACAGGGTGCTCTGATAATTTCAGAGTAGTGTCTTCAGCAGTTGAATGGGACATACACCTGTATGACCTTCTCTGGTCATGGTCTTTGTCCAAATCCCTTTTTTTACTGATAGTTTAAGCAGATATTTGAGGCTGTGAGACCACGGGCAGGGCTGCAGGTGTGATTTCCTTCTGCTGACAGGCACTGTGGCCGTCACCTCCAGCTCATGCACATGGCACAAAAGTGGGGCAAGGGCATCACTGCAGATAAAGCTCCAGAGGCCAAAGGTGCTTGAGCTGCTCATTCCCAGGTTGCTCAGTCTGGGAGATGTTTCTGGCATCCACCTTTGTGACTCCTCTCCTTTCCCAGCTGCAGAGTAAATTTTCTCTGACTCACAGGCTGAAAGATCACAACCAGGAGGAGAGAAACAAACCATAAGGCTCTGATTTGCCAAACTTTCCCAAATCTGGTTGTTGCAGAGCTATCCATGCTTAGCCAGACCCTGGCCAGTATTTCTTTGTTTGCAAAAACAGTTGAAAGTTCTATTGGAACATTCATTCCAACCCCCATTTTGGAAGCAGCCAGGCAGCCTCTCCTTGCTGCGTCCCCATGGGCTGCGGGATTCCCCTGGATATCCAGGTTGCAGATTCCCTATTCCCAGACCTTTGCTCAGTAAATCAATACGGAATCAGAGAATAGCTTTGTAGCGGGAGCTCCCGCCGTTCCGAGCCAGGCTCGCAGAAATCGCGTTTATGTTTTCACTTGCCAATTATTTTGCGAGATGTAGAGCTCTAAAATAGAAGAACGAGCCCCAAGACCTCTCCAGCACCGGGGTATGAATGCCCTTTTTTTTTGATTTTAGTGTGGGAAGCATCTCAAAGGAGCAGGGTAGCAGGGGATGCTGGAGGGGGTGTCAAAGCGATGGGTGCTGCACACACATGTCACAGCATCCACCACACGTGGGACGATCTCACATCCTAGCACTCAGCCAAATGCTCTCTTTTTACCACAGATCTCCCCCCACCACAAAATTAGTTATGAATACTTAAACCCTTCCCTATTTTGCACATAACTTATTTACTTAAAGGATACTCCGGCACCTCCTGCTATCGCCTCCGGCAAAGCCTTCTGTTTTAAATCAAAGCTGTTAAATAGCTTTACACAGAGAGGAGGAACTTGGACTCAGACTGAATTTTTCCTTCAAGTGTGTTTGCAAAAATTTGGTTTAATGTCAGGGCTCTCCACTTGGAAATAGAACGGCTCCCAGTCCAGTGAGTCCTACGGGAACAGGAGGAGGCCTTGAAAATGAAGTGGAGGGCTTTTGATTCGCTTGTCTTGGCTCCAAGCAAGGGAAGTTTCAGGGAAAATCCAAAGAAATGCCTGAGGGCTACCAAAACATGAGTGTTCAAGTGCTTGATGCTAAGAGACCCGTGGGAATAGTCGCCTTGCCCTTTGAATGGGATGGGTCATGTTACACCATTTAACCCAGATGGTCTTGAGAAGTGATTTGGCATCCTGTGGACCCACCAGAGCCACAGGATATCTCAGGAGAGGAGAATTTGGCATTGCTCTGGGATACCAGTCAAAGGTAGGGACACATCTTCATCTCCTCTCGGTTCTCTGCAAGCCTCCAAGATCTGTCAGTGAAGGATGCAGAGCAGGAGAGGGGAAAGTCACGCCTTTCAACAGCAGCGAGTCCCTTGGAGATGGAGACTCACTGGTCTTCTCTTCTAAGGGTTTTCCACATACTGAGGAATTTAACAAACCAGTCTGGGGCCGTGAGTCCAATGATCTGAGCAGAGACTGCAGATTGCCTGTGGTCTAAACCCTCAAAAACTGATGTGGACCCGAGAGAGAGCCAAACAGTAACACAACTGGGTGCTTATTCCTTCCCTCGGAGGGAAACATTTCCTATTTCCAGGCTCTGGCTGCTGGGGAAGACAAGGGGGTCATGTCTCTCACTGGGAGATCAGGGAGCTGATTTGGATTCTAGAAGAGCATTCACTGAATTTGCAGTATTTACTCTCTCCATGGCCCTCAAGGTCACTGATGCTGAAGCAGGACATGAAATCACTGGACAAGACTTTTCCATGCAGCACAGTCTCTCCTAACCCCCATGAACAGTGGCTTTGTAGAGCTGAGGAGGTGGATGCTCCAAGAGTATTTTAACAGCACGCCAGAAAAACACCAGCCAGGAGGAGTTTTGGGGTGGGAAGGACTCTGCTTAGGAAAAGGGGAGCTGGGTCTTGAGGACCTGGGGGGAGCTGCAAAAGAGCTGCTGCAGAGCTGCCAGGGTCAGAGCTGTGGCTCGCTGCCAGCTGCAGCGAGCCCTCCCCGCCGCTTCCATCCCTCCCTGGCACACGCCGCTGCAGAGCAAAGCACCAGGGCTCCCAGAAAATCCTCGGGATGCTGCTCAGGGGTGCCTGAGTCTACCCCAGCCTTGCGCGGGACCGTCACGGCCCCGGGACTGCGCGTTCAGCAGCAGCAGCACATCCCCGGCTCCTCCCGTGCTCCAGAGGCATCCCTGGAGCAAAGCTCCCGCCGCGGCGGCTTTGCGGGAGGGGGGTTGAGGCTGTCGCCTGCGTTTTGCCATCCCTTTCAGGGGAAGGAGCTAAAAATTGGGTGAGCGCCTGTGAAATCCTGGAAGAACAGCCTCAGATCAAGGGCTATTTTTAGTTCCACAGAAGCTGCGCATACATTAGCGAGGGCCTGCCTTCCTCCCCGGGCTCGCAGAAATCACACGGTGTCCTCCCAGCCTGCCAGGAGAGAGTTTAACCCTTGTTGTCTCGCCACAGTCAGCCCCATCCATCTGCACCTCCATATGGACCCTGATGGGGGCCAGAAAAGGGGACAGAAAGGTTTTCATGGGCATTTTGGCTCTAGTCAGGTGGAGGAAGAATTAGAGGGGATCTTTGCCCTGTGGACCTTATATCTGGTGCCTGGTGAAAGGAGCAGGAACTGGAAGGAAACCACAGAAATGGCATCTGACTCCCATCACCATCAGCCCTGGCTGAGGAACTGCCACATTAGGGGCTGAGGGGGGCAGGGGGATGTTCAGAGCTTGCAGGACCCGAATCGATGCCTCATCTCCAATGACCTCTTGTGATGGCCAAGACAGATGCCCTTCATCAGCTGCTACCTTCAATGGACCCACTGTAGAATCATAGAATCGCAGAACGATTAGGATAGGAAGGGAATTTAAAGCTCATCCCATTCCAACCGCCTGCCATGTGCAGGGACATCTCCCACTAGATGAGGTTGCTCCAAGCCCCTCTAACCTGGCCTTGAGCACTTCCAGGGATGGGGAAGTAAAGCACCATGAGGTATTTAATCCAAACCTGCAATCCTTTAGCCATGTTTTCCTGGGAAACAAGACCTCATCACCACATTCTCAGATGCTTGGTGTCACATCTCCTTCCTCCCACCGGCTGCGTCTCCTCTACTCCAGACACATCACACCAGGAAAGCCATGGCTTGGACCCACAAAGGGAATGAGGCCAGGGATGAGCTCACCAGCTCGCTGCAACTCATGATGCCTTTCAGCACACAGTTAACAACAAATAATTGCAACATTTATCCCTACTTTTTTATTTTCCCTCCAGGATGAGGAGCAAACCCTGCATGAGGGGCCCGCCGATGCTCTCCACGCTTCTCACCCGCAGTGCCCGTCGGCCCTGCTGCCCGGTGCACTTTAACATTTTCCAGCTCTTTAATATTTATTACCTCTGCTGCTTTGTATTACTCATCGGCTATTCCTGGCCAGAGGAAATGCACTGGTGGGTTCTGAAGCGTGGATGGAGGTTCTCTGGGTTTTTTTTGGGTGGGGGGGCCCTTGGTGAGGCAGTGCCTCACAAACGCTGCTCCGTGCTCGGCCCACACCATTTCCCGGGGCTTTGGAGAATCCAATGAACCTCATAGTGGCTTTTCAAAGGCCACCAGGATGTGTTAAACCACCAGGAGAGGACACACAGCCTTTCTGGGAGGTATAGGAGCCCTTGCCTCAGCTGATCCCTGCAGAAACACTCCTTTTCCCCTTGGAAGTCCACCTGAGCATCCTTCCCTGCTTCACCTGCAGCTATTTTACGAGTCTCCTCCCAGCCCCATGATTAAAATTAACCACGAGCCTGGCAGCAGCTTTGCCTGCTTGCAGGATTTCTCCCAGCTGCTGGGGGCTGCCAGTAAGGAGATATATCTAATAAAATGAAGCAGGTCAAGCTATGCAGGAACCTATGGATGGCTGAAGTTGCAGTTGTTTCATTTAGCAGTTAACTCCTAATTAAGACTGATTTAAAATAATATGACAAACAGGACCACTTTCTAGTGATTGCATCCAGGAGAAGAACCAGGCCAGGTACAGTATTACCCACTACTTCAGCATTTTTTTTCCTTTTTTTCCTCTCCTCCTACTTATTTTAAAGGAGCTTTCTGCTTGAAGCTTAATAAAAGTGAAGCCACCTGACCACGTCCTCGCTCCACCACCCTCGGGGCACAGCTGAGTCTTCCCGTGCTAGCAGACAGCTTATCCAAGTGACACAAATGCGGTCACAGGAGCTTTCCACCAGCAAACAGCATCTGGGAGGCGAGGTATGAAATCCTGCAGCTCAGCCCAGGGGATGGATGTTCATGCACAGTTAGGTGCAGAAATGGAGGCAGGGAGGTTAAACGACTTCCCCCGAGCTAGGGGTGGCTGGCAGGTTTTAATTTAGAACGGAATGGAATGGAACAGAATGGAATAGAATAGAGTGTTTCAGTTGTAAGGCACTATCCAGCCCAACTGCCATTTTGGGAGGTCCTTGTCTCCCTGACCCTTTTGGACAGGGCTCCTTTTGGAAGTGCAAGGTGCCTAATCCAAAGGAAAAGAAAAGCCTTTTGTTTTCACACATGTCCTTTCGACCTCCTGCTACTCAAAATGCTTCCCAGGCCCATTCGGATGCCTCCTGCATTCCTGATCCAGCTGAGGCAGCTGCCCTGCCCTGCACAGAGGATGTTTGCATTAACATTGACTATGGTGAATGCTTAGACGAGATATATCCCAGAAGCACCAATAAATTGCTGGGCTCATTGATCCAGACGTGACTCAGGAGTCACCACGGAATAATCTCTTTCGGCACCTTCCTCTGGCTGAGCCCGGGCAGGGTTTCTGCTCCCATCAGCAAAGCAGTTGAGGTCTCTTCCATCTTGCACTTCTCCAGGGGAAGGCCAGCTTAAATGACACGTGGGGGCTATTGATTTCTGTAATGAATGAATGGATTTTTCCCTCCTGTGCTCACACCCCCCTCCCTCTCCCATGGAATAATTCAGCGCCTCTGTCATTTACTGCCCAAATGCCTCTCCGAAGTGCAAACATGCAGCCTCTCCCTGCTGGCATTGTGTGCCGTCTCCAAAGCCCTGACCTTGGCTCCCCTGTTTTCTCCTGCCTTCTCCCTCCAGGGGGATGGTTTACACTCGTGCAGTGAGGCAAAGATCCCAGGCAATGGAGAACATGGAAGTTTTTCCTCCCCAGAAGGAAGGTGTGTGGCCTGAGTGGTTGGATACTCTGAGATTGTGTGTCAGATGCTGCAGAACTGGATGGGAAAGGTGGTGCAGCTGCCTGTTGGGATGGATTTGGAATAGATTCCTACACTCCAGGGATGTACTTTTAAACAGGAGCAGAACAGATGTTCTGGTTGTTGAGGATCTGAAGGAAGCTCAGCTGGTGGGGTGGGTTGCAGTTATGGGTTGAAGAAAAAGAACCCTGTTGTACACTGAGCTCAGCTGAGAAGTTGTGGCTGCCTCATCCCTGGAAGTGTTCAAGGCCTGGTTGGACAGGACTTGGAACAACCTGGTCTAGTGGAAGGTACCCCTGCCTGTGGCACGGGGGTTGGAAAAAGATGGTCCTAAAGTCCCTTCCAAACACCCTGTGAGTCTGTGATTCTGTGAGAAGGATTCTCACTGTGAGCCCAAAACATCCTTTCTCACTGCCCCCCCCACCAGCTCCTCCCCAGGTAACCCCCTCCCACCACCTGCTTCTCCCCAGCCAGGTGTCTGTACCTTATCTGAAGTGCCACACTCACTCTCCTGCTTTTGGGATCCCTCTTTCCCATCACCCCACCTTCAGGTGACCTCTTCCCCTGCGACCTGATGCCGGTGGCTGTTGGCCATGGCTTAGGGAATGGCTCTGCAGCAGAGGGATGTGCCCCCTGTACCAGGCACAGTGCCCAGGGGCAGCCTGACACTGTCTGTCAGCCCTCCTACCCCTCCAGGTCCTGCCTGGCCCTTCACAGGAGGGTTTGGAGGGGAAGCCTTATGAGGAGTGGCTGAGGTCACTTGGTCTGTTCAGGCTGGGCAAGCAGAGACTGAGGGGAGACATCGCTGGAGTCTTCAACATCCTCAAGAGGGGCAGATACAGATCCCTTCACTCTCATGACCAGGGACAGGACTCAAGGGAACGGTGTGAAGCTGAGTCAGGAGGGGTTTGGGTTGGATCTCAGGAAAAAGGTTCTTCCCCCAGAGGGTGGTTGGCACTGAACAGGCTCCCCAGGGCAGTGGTCATGACCCCAAGGCTGACAGAGCTCAAGGAGTGTTTGGACAACACTCTCAGGGACAGGGTGAGATTGTTGAGGTGTCTTGTGCAGGGCCAGGAGTTGGACTGGATGATCCTTGTTGGTCCCTTTCAACTCAGCACATTCTATGATTCCTTCTATGACTGTATGTTCTGCCCATAAACTTGGGATCATAGAGCTCAGCATCCAATCTGCCACTGTGGGGTGCTGGGATTTGACACAACCCCTGCACTACAAACTCTGAATCTGACTCAGGTTGCCCTTTGCCTCCAAAGCCAAGCCCTGACTAGTTTAAAAATTTGCAGCTGACTCTAAACATCTCAGCCCAGGACAGAAATCCTTCAAATCCTAATCTAAAACTTCAGGTGTTTGAGCCCCCAGAGCAGGTAAGTTTTGGCACACACACAGGAGGGCCCGTCCAACACCAGGGACTGGTCTGGGCCACCAAAAGATTCATCATTTCCTCTTCCATCCTGCCCTGCCTCCAACACACCATCCCAAACGCTGGCCCAGACCTCAACACCCAACTAGGAACAGTCCCTGTGTGCCCTCTCTTGCCCTCCAGGAGAGTATCCAGGTGAAAACAAACCCTTTCTTGTGGGTTCAAACTCATTTTTATGGGTTCAAATCCCTTCTTATAGGTTCCAACTTCTGCTTGTGGATTCAAACCTCCTCTTGTAGGTTCAAACCCCTTTCTGTGGGTTCAAACTTCCTCTTAGGCATTCAAACCCCTTCCCACAGGTTCAAATCTCTTCTTGTGAGTTCAAACCCCTTTTTATTGGTTCAACCCTCTTTTTATTGGTTCAAACCCCTTCCTGTGCATTCAAATCCCTTCTTGTGTGTTCAAACTTCTTCTTGTAGGTTCAAACCCCTTTCTCTCATTTCCAGCCTCTTCTTGTGGGTTCAAAGCTTTTCTTGTAGGTTAAACCCCCTTCTTTTGTGTTCAAATCCCTCCTTGCATGCTCAGATCCCTTTTTTATTGGTTCAAATCACTTCCCATGTGTTCAAATCCCTTTTTTTGTGGGTCCAAACCTCTTTCTGTGGGTTCAAACCCCTTCTTTTCTGGTGCTGAAGGAAGGGCTTGACCTTGGCTTGACCTGGAGCATCTCAGGCAAACCCATCCACTACCCTGAGCCGAGCGAGGAGACAGAGCTCTCACATTCCCATGTTGGGGCTGCAAGGCAGGATATCCAACACTTAAACACCTCCTGAGACATGGCAGCGTGTCAGGAAGACTCTTGTCTGCTGGCTCGAAGGGTGGCCGGGGGAGGATATTGCTGGGGCTCGATTCCCTGCAGCCGGAAACGCTCCCTGAGCCAGCGGGCCCGGTTACCAACGTGGGATTATGAGGACACTCTGCTGGAAAGAGGATGCTGCAGCCTTGAGTCATCTCCAAGCTTTGGAGAGAATTAAACTTCCACCTTCCACCGCCTCCCCCTCCCCGCTACCTCCCTTGCCTGCGTGTCCTGCCACTTGAGGTGACGGCTAAAAGCAGGATGCGCTTCTTAAGGAAGCTTTGGGAGTGGATCCCTTCTCCTGTCTTTCCTCACAGCACCTATTTCTCTGTATGGAATATTTTGTGCCAAATGTTTCCCCCCTCTGATACCCCCAAACCTCTGGGGTGGCCTGAGTTGCAAGTAGGGGGTTTGCTTCAGCTTTTTTGTGAAGCTCAAGGAAGTTCATGTGACTAAGAATTTTTCCTCGAGCCACCACAGTAGATCCTCCAATGGGATTCCCTTTCTTACTCCAGCTGTCCAAAAGTGGGAAAGCTGATCCAAACTCATCGCCTCGGTTCCATCTTTTATCAAAGACAGATTCCCAGAAAGCCACTCATCCCATCCCAAGATAAGTGTCTACAACACCTCCTACGGATTTCCTGTCTCCTTCCCTTGACTACAGAAGGGTCCAGACGACTGACTGAGAGCTGATGGTTGATACCAGATGTCTCCCATCTCCTTGGCATCACTTCCCCATCACATGCTTCCCATCTCCCTGCTGTCATTTTGATATGTCACTCTGAGGAATCGCTTCCACTTCCCCCATGGAAAATATCTGGGGGACACGGGAGACTGGGGCAGTGTCAGGGGCCGTGCCAACAGGTAGGAAAGGAGTTTTCCTGTGGGAAGCGAAGTTCACATGGAAATGGAATGCATTCCCATCTGACAGCTGGAATGGGAGCTCCCAGAGCTGGCTGGGTTGTGTTTTGTTCCCACCATCTCTTAACTTGGTCTTCTTTTTCTCTGTGGAGTAAGTGCACAGCCTGGGGAAGGTGACACATGCCATGAGAAGAGAAAGCCCTGTGGTGACCTTAGTGGGGCCTCTCAGTACCTGAAAGGATCCTAAAAGAAAGATGGAGAGGGACTTTAAAAAAGGGTGTGGA